TATAATGTTATGGACACACATTTATTTATCTTAAACTTATCAAGTCCCCTTCTTGGCTAATTGTACACTGAAGTAAATAAATTCTATTTTATTCTATATTTATCTTAAACTTAAACCTAATAACTTTCACAATTTTCACAATTTATCCGACTGTATAACTTACTCGCATATGTTGCACACGTTGAATACTTTCACGCTCGTTGGAATGTTTCTTATTTTTCTTATTACTCTAAATATTACATTCATTACTATGTTATTTTTATTACTATGTTATTATATTGAGATCTAACAGCGCCATGTATTTTTTCTATTTTATAAACAATTTTTCTATTTAAATTAAATTTTGTCAATAGGAGATAAATGCTTTTGAGCAATCTAGCTAGGATTTTCAGTTAAATTTTCATTTTATTCTATTACTTCTTTAATTCTTTATGGTAACACTTGTATTAAGTAAAGTAACGTAATTTTATGATGTAATGTTTTAAGGGAGATAATAATGTTTTGAAAGGGAATTATAAATATCTACTACTTTCGTTGAAAGAGAAACTGTCTTTAGATTGAGTTATAATAATTTCTTTTAAGAAAAGAATTAAAGCCATTTGGATTGGAAATATATTTCAATAGAAATACAAAAGTACATACTTAGGTTTCATTGTATAAAAATTAAAGATAATGCCACTTGAATTATATTTTTTATTTAATTTGGTATTGGATTTAACTTAGCACAACAACTAGTTGTTGATATCACCTTTTATAAGAAGTAAACATATCATTAGAGTCAAATAAATAGTGGAGATAGAACCACTTGGTTTTACTTTTTAAAAATTTTAACTACATATGTATAAAATTTTAATAAGAACAATAAGTTAATTAAATGATCTAAAAAGATAGTAATATTAATAGTTTGTAATTAGTTGGTATTACTATATTTTCTTAGTTTATATAACTTATTTATTGTTCTTATTAGAATTTTGTAATATACAGTTGACGTGTTATTTATCTTCAAATTTCTAGTTACTGATATAACTTTTTTTCTCTGAGTATGTAGATATTTCTAGCGAATCCTATTCAATAAAGATAAGCTGCAGAGGCTAAAATAGTTACAAAACGATTTCTAAACAATTGCGTAATTTACAAATATCATAATTGTAGTTATTTAAAATGCTTTTTTACAGCAGGACTCTTTATGCGACCATGCGCATAAAAAGAATACCGCACAGAAACAGTTTATCGCATTTATCCTGTACCGGATGAAGACAAATTAATGATAATAAGAGGGTGGTTCGTATAGAATTAGCTACGAATCATCTCTCCCGCTGACTGATCGTTATCGGTAATTTGCGACGTTTGCTCCCCCGTGGGATTCGAGACCTCCGGGGGTATTCTTCCCCTATCGTTTTACTTCTCTACACATTTGTGATGTACAAATAGGATTTCGTTAGTGACAAATCACTTTCATGATCGCACGAGAGTCAATCAATATAAACAAATTAGATATCGATAAGTTTTAATATAACATACACTAAGATTTAATTATAGTTAATATATAATTGTAGATATATGTATATAATAACATATAATTAAATTATATATTATAATATATTAAATATAAGCAATAATTGTAATATATAATACAATAATATTATATAATATAAATAATTAGTCAAATTAACGGACACCGTGCCGATGATCTTGATCTTGACATATGTTGTCAAGGTCATGATCTTGAGTGATTTTCAAAGGTTCTAGGTGGCGTTCACTGTCCGTTCAAAAATTATTATTAATTTCAAAATAACACAAATATTTTATCTTTTTTTCTATAGGTATATGTGCAAAATATATTTCTACATATACACCCTCTAGTCAAATATTGTTTTTTTTCAAATCACTCAAAATTTTTTAATTTTGTAAAAAATTAACATATTTTTTTTAACATTCTGAGTTCTGGGTGTGGAATTCAGCATCCATAAGAGATCTGAGTGTGAAAAGCTCCATACTCTTCATAAGGAAGTCTATGCTTCCGGCTCACCGACTACAGACTACTAATT